ATCTTAGCTCTAGTTGTTTTAGTTATTTTTGAAGGAGATCCTTCAAGGGCGGGGGAGATGGTTGCGCGGTAAAACCATTCGTATTTATTTTATTTGACGGTAGGCTGCCAAATCGGTTATCCCTTTCCAAAACGATATCATTCGTACTCTCCTATCGACACATCGGGGTGGTGGGGTGGGAGGGGAAAGAAGATGATTCTAGAACATCACGTAATCATCGGAACCGAGGATATATAAGACACGCGCGACCGACGCGTGGCCTCTTCCCGCCGCGCTCGCCGTTGAAACTACACCGATTCTCTCCCGACGTATCTCTGGGGCCCCAGAGTGTCTGTCCAGAGGAGGTTCCAGAAGTCGCAGTTATAGTGTTCGACCGCACAGAAGAAACATCCCGGTGAGTCAACATTTTCCTAATAGTATTTTCCTGCTTGATATAGTAGTTTTAACCCGCTCCAATTTTGTGTTTTCCTAATCAAGCAGGATTCCTTTCATCGATTTGGCATAATAGTTCGTTTTTTTGGGAAGAGCGAGTGCATTGTACCGCATATACAAGTGTAGAAGCATTAGTAGATACAGTCCACTTAGATTAATAATTCGCGCAATAGGTTTAAGGTTCGACCGGGGAACTAGACTTCGGCAGCCTTAAACACGTGGCTCCACCACCTTAAATTTGCAAAAAAATATGCAAGTCACTCATGGTCAAAAAAAACTAACCTATCTCTCAAGCTGGACCAAACTGCGCACGGTGTGCGAATTTTATTAAAATCTGTTGAGTAGTATAGGAGCCCATCGCGGACAAACAACGTGACACGTAATTTATATATATATATATATATATATATATATATATATATATATATATATATATATATTATCATTATTGTCCTGACTAGATAAATGGTAGGCATAATAACAAAATGATTAAGGATACGAATAAATAATATTGTAAATTTTCTGTCAATTATACTACCTTGACTATGCATTTTTGCGTGCTAGATATAGTTTTCATAATGATATTAACCTTTTTTTAGAATAATCTTAAGGATCTATTTTAAGAATTGATAAAAAAAATCCAGATAGCATATTTTTTTATTCTTTTGTTGGTGGGAGGTGTAGTGTAGTGCTCCCACGTTAATATACTTTAGTGTTAAGGTAGAATAATGAGGCAGTATAATTAAAGTAATAGTACCTACCAACAACACGTCTCTCTTCATTTACACCTTTCATATATTACAGTATGAATACTTTGAATGAGGCCTACAATAAATACCAACAAAGAAATAAGCGAAAGTAGTAAGTACCTAAGTAGGAGAGGTCCTCCCGCAAAAGAAAAACTAAAGTTATAGTAGTAATGCATATTATATAGTAGTTGTTGCCTTGGAGGGTATAGTCTTTACCTCCTGCAGTGACAAGCCGTGACAGATGATGAGATGTCCTTATAGATTTTTGTCCAATTACGCCTTTTGCTTTTCGAAATACTATAAATCTATATTTTATTTCACTTTAAACACAGACTTGATGTTTAGCGTGGCAGAGCAGCGTCCTCTCTCTTCTTTTTTTGATAGGACTACACCTGGTCCCCTCTTTAATTATTTGTTAAAAATATTTGTTGACCAGTGAATACTTGTTTCGTGCGGGATTTGAACCAGCGGCCTTCAACGCTGCAACACAATGCTAAGCTACTGCGCTGTGAAGGCGTATTAATTGCACCTGTCATTCACACTATTTCAATTTGTATTTAATCGCACTAGTAAATAAGAAAAAGTGTAAATTGAGATAATTATAAAATTATATTAGGATATGCCTTATATTTTAATATCTGTGTATCTACGTGATTTTGTAACTCAGTACGGAGTTAGTACCAATTACTACAATTCGATATGCGATTTTCAATGGACTCTGTTTGCTTAGATTTATAGATTTTTGGTAGAGCTATGCTACAGCTATATTTTGGTTGCAGTTGGGTTGCAACACGAACGGGTCGGCTCGACCGGGGAAGGACCACGCTTTCACAGAATACCAGCGTAAAATAGCAGCTTAATGCTGCTGTGTTTCGTTTGATGGTGAGTGTAGAGAACTGGAGACCCTTTTTACTGAAGACGAGACATTCCATTCTCAGACCTCAGGGCTTGCAACGCATCTTCATTTTGATTCTTAATTGAAGATAAATGTAAATGTCTACGGGCCACAACATCCATTTACCATCGGGTGGACTGTGTACTCGTTTGTCACTCTAATTCTATAAAAAATATTGTAGTATCTAAGTATTGGTTAGTATGATACTCTGCAACGAGTATATCTCACAACGAGTCGAAGCAGAAGATATATAGATATTGTATAGTCCATAAGGATAAGAGCCCGTACCATCAACATGCACAGTTCCAATAGCGAAAACCCGCTAATAACGATATATCGTTATAACGTTTTTCGATTAATTGGAAATTTTCTACTAATAGGAAAATATTGGAAAATAATTGTATACGCAAGTAGGGACATTAATTTTAAAATAACGTTAATAACTAGGAACCGTTTTAAGACTTAATGTATGCATTAAAGAGCACTTATTTCATCTTATCAATATTATTATATATTTATAAAATCTCTTAAAGTTTTGGGATGAAATTTGGTCTATAACACTCTCTATTGTTCGAGAAATTTTATGACAAATATGGTTCAGCCATACCGAAGATTTGCTCAGACAGACAATTTTAAAAATGATTTCTCATGTCTCAATGGAAAGTTACTGCTAAGCAAAACCCAGCATGTCTCAACATAGTATATAAACCTGGGTTTAATTGTTAAGTCAACCCAGTAGTAGTTAATATTTTTATAAGTTATGTAGTCTAGTAATTCTATGTATTTACATCGTCACAGTAGTTAACTTGTAAGTTAGAAAATAAAGTAATATAGGAAAACTCTTCGTCTCCTTCCACTTCAACTCTCGCTAAGCTGCCGCAAACGTAACTGGCATGTAAATATTTTGCATAAAAATATAAACAACCAAAATCAACAATATTTATGACGAAACCTCTGGAGAACTCTAACGAATTAGGGAAACTGGACTAATTTTTTTTACAGTTTTTTGGCATTTTGTTATCATAGATGCCTATGACAAGTCGGATTGAAGATATATAAAAACGCATATCGCAACTTAGTTTTTTGTAGTTTTTACCCACGAGTATGATTATAGATAGCGGTAGTGTACGAGAGAGGGGTGAATAGAGGTAACGCCATTTTCAATCGCATTCTTTAAATTCACGGGTAGTAAATGGTACTGATATGTAGATATAATATTGTATATCTAAATATTGGTTGATAATGGGATGTAAGTAAATATATAAATTATTATATTTAAATTACAAATTGAACTAAATCATACCGACATTGCTCGTGGGCTGCCATCTTCCCGTATTCAATTAACTTTATTTAAATATTTATGATTAGGTTATTTTAATAAAATATGTTAATATATAGAAAAAAGAAAGTAGTCAAAGAAAAGAGTATTAGTATAAAATAATTTATTTACAAATTTACATATTGATCGCTATACTAGAGGAACAAATACTGAACCGTCGCCACGCACTTAGCATTGCACATATTTCCTTCTTAGCGGCGCTATAATGTGTTATTGTATCGCTTCCAGAAGTGCTGAACGTGGTGGTGTGTGTATCGCTGTGTGTTGTATGACTGTAGTAGTTGTATCGTTGTGTACTGTATCGCTAGGTCATATTGTATCGCTTCTAAAGTGTCGAATGTGGTGGTGTGTATCTTGTTGTATCGCTGTTTATTGTCGTATCGCTGTATCTTGTGGTATCGCTGTGTGTTGATGTATATATGACTGTTGTTATTGTATCTCTGTGTGCTGTATCGCTAGGTCTTGTTGTATCGCTTCCAGAAGCGCTTGACGTCGTCGTGACCGGCGCGGGTGACGAGCGCTGTGCGCGTGCGCTCGCTCTGCCACGTGAGCACACCCGCGGCGCGAGCATAGTCTCGCAGCGCTGTGAAGTCAGCCTGCACACACAGAAATAATTATAGGTTGCTCTTCATTAAAAACATAAAAATTCACAACTATACAATAATTTACAATATAAAACGGGAATTTTAGATGCAAGAGACGTGCGTTCCAAATGCAGTTAGTTTGCTCAGTAGGAGGAGCGCATGTGATGCGTCGCCCCGAACGGGCCGGAGCGCGGGGTGGCGTACATGATAGAGAGGTGAGAGTCACTACACAACTTAAGAATCGAATTTCATATACCAAATGTCCAATAATTAATGACCTTGAATACTGAGCTTTCTCGAAGAATCGATTTCCATATACACGTGTCCAGTAATTAGTGGATAACCTGGATATGGAGCTTATTCCATAAGAATTGATTTCCAGATACAAGACGTCCAGTAATTAATGAATAACCTCGAAATGACCCATTCGTACCAACCATAATATAGAGGCAGCGTGACTCTATGTTATTCGGGTTAGGTCATTGAAACTAAGGGATTGAGCAAAATTTAAACAAAAATGGTATGAACTATAGTGTCCTGTTCGGATATCCAAGGGGGGCAAACGAGCATGCGGATCACCTAATGGTAAATCACCGCCACCCATGAACAACTGCAACACCAGGGAAATTGCAGGTAAGTTGCCGGCTTTTTAAAAAAGTATAGGCTGTTTTCGTGAAAGTCCGTACGGTTACGAAGATCGTATTAGAAAAATCGTTGTAACACGAATGGATCGGCTCGATCAAGGAAGAACCACGCTCGCACAGAATACCAGCGTGAAGTAGCAGCTTAATGTGGTGAGTGTAGAGAACCGGAAACCCTCTTTAAATGGAAGCGAGACATTCTATCTTAAGTTTTCAGGGGTGACAACTCATCTGCATTTAGATTATTTGTTCAGGATGAAATGTGCATGTCTATGGAGCCACAGCGTTTACTTTCCATAAATCTACCTGACTGTGTGCTCATTTGTATTGGTGTTAAATCGGTTTCGGCGTCAGCAGTACCTGTGACAGGAACTGGTTGTAGACGACGCCCTCGGTGTAGGTGAACCGGTTACGCTCAGCCTCCCACAGTCGGATCTGGTCCACGACGGTGGGCGGCAGCACAGACGTGGCCCGAATGCCACCGCTCTCAGATTTCAGCATCTGCACACCACCCAATACCGCGTTAACATCACAAAAAATTGCAGCCCTAAGCGACTCTACTGTTCTTTTTCAAACGTATCTGAAACGTAATCTAACCGTTTGACAGAGATTGCACCTAGCATTATCAAGTGAGCTCCTTGATGGAAAGCATGTTAGCAAATAATGCCTATTGGCTCATACTTTGAACACAAATGTACCTGTGGATGCGAGTGCTGTTCCAGGTAGTGTATGATCTGGTCCGCCGTGATGCCTCCCCGCAGAGCTTGACGTACTGACTCCCGGGTCAACACGCCCACCACCAAGTTGGGGAACCTGCCATGAAAAATGATTTTTATAATTTAATATATGTTTTGTTACAGTTAAGAGCACAGAATATAAAAAAGAAAACCCAAGGTGAGCTGGACAGGCGTATCACAATTAGTAACAGTAGAACATAATCAAACATAACTAACTGTCAGTCGCAGGCTCAAATTGTCGCGAGTTAACGGATCGCTTCTTCAGTAATATATGCGAAATTATGACGTTTTGTACAGTATTAGAGAGTAGAAACAAAATCAAAAATATAAATATTTTAAATGGAGGTATTTCGTACCACAGCTACGTGTAATTTTATTTGTTTTTGCAAAGAAACGTGAATTAACATGAACAAAATATGAAAGTGCCTTTATTACAACGAATATTCAACCTTATTCCGTAAGGTTCATCTGTCAATGCGTTATGAACAAAAAGTGCTGCGACAGTGTTGTGACGATATTCAAATCGATAAAATTTTATCTCAGTCCTATTTATTTACTAACATATTAATAGAATCCGGCTCGGAGGACGAAGTAATGTAGGGTGTAAATGCCACACTTGATGATATATGATATAAAATTGCTATGATATGATATACTTGATATGATTATATAAATGATAAAGTAAACGACTACTTGATATGAATGCTTGAAGTGCACTGCTCGCCGAGTACTGGCGCGTTAATGTGCTGTGTTGTTAAGTCTGCTAAGTTGGCATTAAATATGTACGTTTCACCGTACAAATAGAAATTTGTAAATACTGAATGTTAAATATAGAAAATTATAGAGTGATACTGTCACCCAATTAATGAGCATTTTTACTTAGTTAGGGTTGTTAACCAAAGAAGTAAGTAAATAGCTTAGTATGGCCATAACTCATGGCGTTTTGAAATAAGTTGATATAAAAGTGATATTTTCATGCATACACACATTATTATCAGCATTTTTTTATAGAATAGGGTGAGAAACGAGCACACAGTCCACCTGATGGTAAGTGGTTGCTGCGGCCCATAGACATCTACATCTATCCTCCATTAAAAATCAAAATGCAGATGCGTTGTCACCCGTGAGGACTGAGATGGAATGCCTCGTTTCCAGTAAAAAGGGTCTCCGGTTCTCTACACTCACCATTCGAAATACAGCAGCATTAAGCTGCAATTTCACGCTGGTATTCCGTGAGAGCGTGGTCCTTCCCCGGTCGAGCCGACCCATTCATGCTACAACCATAGTAGCTGCAGCGTGGCTCAACCATGGTTGTCAGTTCCCAACTATAGGCCAGTTCCTTGGGGACTCTGCATACAACCGAGAACGCATTAATTTGGTAACAGCCACCGGTCAGCGTATACCCGTCCATGGAGAGGAGATGGAGTTGAAGCGAGACAAAATGATCTACCTGCATAACGTCACCATGGACGGCTGCATCCTGGGCCCAGAATTTATGAGGAAAATTTTTTGTGAGATCGACATTAAGCAAGGTGTTCTGAAATGTGGACAAGAGGAACTGTTCGTAAGGGGCGTTATTAGGGAACATGTGTAACATGTAGCCTTAAGAAGATTGTACTTCCGCCGAGATCACCACATCGATCGCCACAGTGACACCAGCCTTCATAAACTTTGGAAGAGAATTACGGCCGGCAATTACTGCCGGCGAACCTGATAACCGGAATACCACCTGATGCCTCCCGCAATATAACCTATTATGCAAATGACTTGCGGAACGAAATGAATGACATTTACGAGCACGTGACAATCGGGTCAGCCAGCAAACGTTTAAAAAAATGAAAACCCGGTATGACCGCAATATGAACAATAAAGGGTTTAACGAAGGGTCACTAGTGTGGTTGCACAATTCTTTTTTTTTTACATAGAAGAGGGGGCAAACGAGCATGCGGCTCACCTGATGTTAAGTGACTACCGCCACCCATGGTCAACCGCAACACCAGGGGAATTGTAGGTGCGTTGCTGGCCCTTTAGAAAGGAGTAAGCTCTTTTCTTTCTTTCTTTTCTTGGTAAACTATTCCACAGAGAGGTCGTACGCGGAAGAAAACTCCTTGTGAAAGGTACAGTGGACCGCCAAACATCCAGATGGTGTGGATGGTATCGGGACGTTTGCCGAGTAGTGCGTTCACGAAATTTAGCGACTGGGATTAATCCGAACAATTCCTCAGAGCACTCCCCATGGTATATGAGAAAGAAAATGCAAAGAGATGCAACATCTCTTCGCAGCGCCAGTGAATCGAGCCGATCGGAAAGCACTCGGTCGTCGACGATTCGAGCCGCTCTGCGCTGGATGCGGTCTAGTGGAAGGAACAGTATTCCATGTGCGGCCGAACCTGCGCCCTGTAAAGTAGCAGGCGGTGTGCCGGCATGAAATATTGTCCCGCTCTGCTGAGCATGCCAAGCTTTTTAGAGGCCAATTTGGCCTTCTCTTCCAAGTCACCACGAAACTGCACGTCACTCGATACGTCGACGCCGAGGATTCCGATACTGGCTAAGGCAACAAGGGAGTGCCTTGAAACTGAGGAGATACGACAAAGGAGTTCTTTTCAGCGGTTAAAGCGCAAACTTGTGTCTTCTGAGGGTTAAACTGGACTAGATTTAGTCGCCCGTCGATCCGAGACTCTGTTCAGCAAAGACTCGACTTCAGATACAAGTTTGTTCCGGTACTAGGAGACGTTTTCCCAAGTAATATTGGCACGGCCGGTGTACAGAGCATCATCAGTGCTGTCATCTGCATAGCAATGAATGTTACGGGTTTGCAACATATCATTGATATGCAGAAGAAACAGCGTTGGCGATAGCACGCAGCCTTATGGAACACCAGCATTGATAGGCTTGTAATCGGAGCTTGCACCGTCTACAACGACCTTGATGCTCCGATCTGCAAGAAAGCTGGCGATCCAATTGCACAATTTCTCGGGAAGCCAATAGGAAGGGAGCTTCGAAAGAAGCACTTTATGCCAAACCCGATCGAAGGCCTTCGCAATGTCCAAACTAACGGCCAATGCCTCCCCCTAGGATTCTACTGCCTCCGCCCATCTATGAGTTAGGTAGACCAGAAGATCACCAGCTGATCGACCACGGCGAAAACTTTATTGGCGATCACTAATCAGATGGTGATCCTCAAGGTACCTCATGAGCTGGCAGTTTACAATGGACCCCATTGTTTTGGAGAACAAGGAGGTGATGGCGATAGGCCTGTAGTTGGACGGGTCTGAGCGGTCGCCTTTTTTAGGGACCAGGTGGACGAAAGCCATCTTCCATGATATTGGTACTACGCCTAGGGAGTAGGAGTACCGGAAAAGACCCGTTAAAATCGGTACCAACTCTGGAGCACACGTCCTCAGCACAATTGGAGGATTCCGTCAGGCCCACTTGACTTGTAGATGTCCAGGGAGAGGAGTGCTTTGCGAACCGAGCGCTGGGTGAACTGCACTTCCGGCATGGAGCACTCACACCGCGGGATGGTCGGCGGCGTACTCCCCCCGTCATCGAGAGTCGAGTTAGACGCAAAGAGAGAGCCTAGCAGATCGGCTTCCTCCTTTGCGGCATGGGCCAGTGAGTCATCCTCCCTGTGCAGTGATGGAAGAGATGGCTGACAGAAATTCCCTTGGACAGCCTTGGCGAGAGGCCAGAATGCACGGGTTCCAGAAGGAAGGCGAACTAGTTTCTCGCCAATTCTGCCTATGTGCTCTGACTTTGCCTTGGCAACGACTCTTTTGAAGGACCTGGAGGCGGAATTATACTTATTTTTTAGAGCGCTGATGTTTACATTCCGGGACGTTGATGCGTCAATCCAGGCTTGGTAGCACTCCTGCTTATAGCATGATGCTCTTTTACAGGAGCGACTGAACCATGGCTGAGATTTGCCTCCGATGGGCACCACAGAGGAAGGAATAAAAAGTTACATATACCCTGAAGTACCACATCAGCAACAGAATCCGCAACAACGTTGGGATCGTCCGTCGAGAAGCAAACACGCCCCCAAGGTTAAAATAAAAAAATAAGTAAATGCAAAGAAAGATCGCATCCTATCCCAATCGGCTGACCTATAGTGCTAAACACGGAGGCAGCCAGCAGAATGCCACTGCGATTTCAGTGTGGTGCCACAGAGATTTCAGCAAGTGTGGCACCACACTCCGGACAAGACAATGGTCCGAGGAGCCTAAAGGAGCGTCGACGGAAATCTGATATCCGTCCGGGTGAGAGGTCAGCAGAAGGTCCAACGGAAGGAAGATGATGATCCTCCACATCTGGAATCCGCGTACGCGAAGTAACCAGTTGTGTGAGAACATATGCCAAGGCAAAATCATGAACAGATCTCCCGCATGATCGGTTAAACGTGAACCAAGCCATTCTGCGTGAAGGGCGTTAAAATCTCGATCTCTGCGGAGGGGATCTGCTGTAGCAACGAATCGGCATTACCGCTATGGGACCTATAGAAGCACCCGTAGACACGCGGATGGTCGTCGTACGCGTAGCCAAATTATGAACAGGTCCGAACCAGCAAGACTGCCGAGGCGACGAGAACAGATGTCCTCTCTGACGTAAACGCAAACTCCAGCCCGAGGCACAAAGGAGTGTTCCAGTCTGTACCCCGGGTATGAGAGATACGAGACATCAGCCGGAGAGGATGCCTGCGTCTCGATCAGAAAGAGCAGAGCCAGCCTCGCCGTCTCGAGATGGTAGTGGACGGCGTTTAGGTTAGAGTGAAGCCCCCTAATATTGCAGAAATTCACGGGTAGCGCGGAAGGGGTCGCCTTGGTCTTTGTTGCTCCATTCGCCCCAAGCAGTTGTAGTCTTTAGCGGAATTTTGCCGCTACCCAGAATACGCGGGGCAGCCTGAGTACCCACGCTTAGGAGTGGAGTAACTTGGTTGTAGATGCTCAGCGAGGGATTCTCTAGGGGTGCTGGTACCCTCCTGGGGTAGTTTAAAATTTGATTCCGCTATCATGTTGATGGAGGGGGGGGATTTGGGCCTCCGGTCACCTGCACTCGCCAGACGAAACGCGGAAGAAGAGCTTCCACTTCACGCCGGTATTCTGTGAGGTGATGGTACCACCCCGGTACAAACCGGCCCATACGAGCAACAGCAAAGCTGCCGCGTGGCTCCACCACTGTTAATACAATTCATTTCGCAGCAAAGTTAAATCCCCTAAGCTTCAAGCTAAATGGGACGGACCGTACCGGATTATGACAAGGATTAATGACGTAACCCATCGGATACAGAAAGGTGCAAGAGGTACTCCTAAGATTGTCCATGTGGATCGACTGGCACGTTATTATGGGGCCGATAATGCGGAACGAGCATGTCTTTGGAGGGGGCGGTGTAGCGCGCTATAATTAACGCCTGCTACGTGGCGAGGGGTAACTCACGCCATCTAGTATCGAGTAGCAGAATCAGGAGAGCTTTCCACAAAATTCCATACTAGAAATTTCTACGCCTAGTCAGTCGGGACCGGTATATACTCGAGTATATACCGGTCCACATATACCGGTATACATTTTAGATGTTTCAGTAGAAGAGGCCTTTAAAAGGCAGTAGGAACCGGGACCGAGTGAGTACTGAATTGGCAATTCAAGCGAATACTTCGAAGCGGTACAACTGCGAACTAAAGTGATCAAGTAGTGCAATTGTGTTTTATTATTAGTGTGTTTCAAGTTGTAATTGGTGTTCGGTAGTTAAAGTGTCAATTTTGGTAATTCAATTAGCAGTTTTTACTGCCACGAACTCCAAGCTCGTAACAATACCATATAGATATTATATAAAATAAATGTGCGGTAGACCTGTATAGCAGGTCTGTGAAGAGGCCCAGCAGCGCCACCTGCAGGCTGGACTGCGTGTACGCGTATACGCGGTAGTTGGTCTCCAGCACCAGGTGGCCGCGCGCCTGCCCACTACTCAGCAGTGGGCCCGCAGAGCCCTCGCCCACGCACGTGATGTTCAGCGCCAGCCGCGTCGGGTAGAATCGGCCCGCCTTACGCTGCAACCGTTACATTTTTGAATTTAAACTTCTTTAGGCACGTTGGACACTTGGGATGGGGAAAAAGCACTGAACTCGCGTAAGCGTCACGCTCAAATACATATACGCGGATGACACTGTAAGTTCATAGAAAATCAAAAATTGCACAAACTAACAAGTTATTAGTTTTATTATATCTTTTCAAAATAGTGTCCATTAACATCAATACATCTGAATATACTGAGAAAAGCACTATGCCCACTCGTCCTTAGGGGTCTCTTCAACGGCATTTTGAAACACAGCCACTGCTTCCTCGGCGTCCATAAAACGTTTTCTTCGAAGTTTTTCTTTTATTCTCGGAAATAAATAAAAAACAAGGTCGGGGCTAAGCGAACATATTCATGGGCCGAACTTTTTCAAGACAAGTGGCAAACAATGTTAATGTATCACTCTGCAGTAACTTTTTTCGATCCTCTAAAACAATTGTTGCGTAATGAGCAGTCCTTCCGAAGAACGAGGACACTATCTTTTTCCCCACGCTTCGACCTCTCTTCACTTTAGTTGGCAACTCCTCGGAAGGAAACACCCAGACAGCAGACTGTCTCTTAGTTTCAGGATCATAACAATAAATCCAGCTGCTTTCGTCAAGCGTAAGTATATCAAACACAGCATTTGAGTCACTCCAACCACGGTTGATTCCTCCACGTGATGAACCTCCTACAACGTGTTGATTGGTGTCGTGAACCATTTCCCGGACGGAGTTTTTGGGCTTCTGTCAAATTATGATGTATCCACCAGGCACAAAGCTTTCTGACTACTAAATGTTCATGAAGGATTTTGTGCACTTGACTCACACCGATGCCTAATCTGCTGATAAGTCACTCTTTTATCAGTCTCTATCATTCGCCACACAACACTGATGTTATCTTCAGTCGTCGCCGTAGAAGGCCGTCCCTCACGTAGATCATCGGTGAGATTAGTGCGACCACGTTTAAACTCAGTAAACCACACAGTTGTAAACAGTGGCACGAGATGGAGCTTCATCGTAAAAGGCCAATCGAAGTCTATCATAACTTTCTTATTGACTTAAATGAAACCAAAATCATAAAAAGTCATGGTACGAAAATCTTCTCGCGTTAAATTCATTCTGACGTGAAACACAATTTTTTTGCCGTCAAATCGTAACAAATGGCAAATTAATAAAATACCTACGCAATTATATTGGCAGGGTTCCATTTTCAAAATATGAACTTATTTTTTTATATTATTGTTTACAAGTGGCCAGTTCTATAAAACTTTCTGTGTCGCCCTCGTACTGGGTGATTTTTTACCGTTTTAAAAGATAGGGTGTAACTGGTGAATGGAACAGAAGCCTATGGCACTGATAATTTTTTTTTACATTAACATATAGTGAAAATTATCCATCAATAAATACTACTAATTAAAGGTTTCACTTCTACAACGTGTGAACTGCAGACACAAATACTTGTTTCTTTTTAATAGAATAAGGGTAGGCCGTGTAGTGGCGGTTGAGAATATCCACTACCCCATATCTTCCCGTGGGTGTCTTAAGAGGCTACAGAGGGACACAGAAAGCAGATGGGCAGCAGCATCTTCCTAATAACAACAATAACATAATAAAAAACTGCGGTTGCCAACCCGCTCGCCAAGCATGGCAACTATGGCAAATATCCCCCCATGAGCAACGACACAAATAAACGGCCCCCAGTCCCCGGCGGCCCCGCTATTGCTGGCTACGGTGGCGACCATGGTAACGGCAGGGAGCGTTAAGAATCTCCGGTGGAGGTTCGGTTGCCACCTACGACGACTCGACCTGGCAAAGTATAACGCACGCACCCTGAGGACTGACGAGAAGATACTGGAGCTGGAAGAAGAGGTAGAGAAGTTGCGCTGGCATATTATTGGATTATCTGAGGTCCGAAGAGAGGGGGAGGACACGGTAATCCTCGAGTCCGGCAACTTGTTCTATCACCGGGAGGGCGACTATCTGTCCCAAGGAGGTGTCGGATTTATCGTCCACAAGTCTCTCGTCAACAACGTTGTAAAGATTGGGAGTGTGTCGACGAGGGTCGCGTACCTGATACTCAGAATCACCAAACGGTATTCGCTGAAGGTCATACAGGTCTACGCACCAACCTCGGCACATCCCGATGAGGAGGTGGAGGAAATGTATGAGGATATTTCTAGAGCCATGCATTTCTCCAAAACCCACTACACGGTGTTGATGGGAGACTTCAACGCAAAACTAGGCACAAGAGAAGGCGGTGAGCTGAAGTTAGGGAAATTTGTAGTAGGGCAACGGAACCGTAGGGACCAGCAGCTGGCTGACTTTATGGAGAAAGAGGGACTCTTTATGATGAACTCTTTCTTCCAGAAGCGGCCCCACAGGAAGTGGACCTGGTCGAGCCCCGACGGTTCGACAAAAAATGAGATTGACTTCATTATGACGACCAGACGCCAACTGTTCAGTGATGTCTCAGTGATCGCAAGGGTGAAAACCGGCAGCGATCACCGAATGGTTAGAGGCACACTGAACCTAAACGTTAAGTTGGAGAGGTCTCGTCTAATGAAGTCAACGCTCTGTCCCCCTCGTGCTCTAATCCAGCATCCCGAGACTTTTCAGAACGAGTTACGTAACCGCTTTCAGTGCCTAGAAGATTGCAATGCAGTGGACGATATGAATGACAAGCTCGTGGAAACTGTACATGCGGTCGGAGCTAAGTTCTGCAAGACCCGCCGCAGAAGAACACAAAAACTCTCCGATCACACTCTTAATCTCATGGCTGTTAGACGGGAGATGAGGCTGCAATCGTCAACAGATTTGATAGCATACAGGCAACTGAACAGACAGATCTAGAAATGCATGCGGCAAGACTTACGCAACTTTAATACTGCTCGTATTAAAGAAGTGATCGAGCGGAACCAGGGCTCCAAAGTCTTTGCCAGAGATCTGTCTGCCAGACTGTCAAAGCTGAAGACTGAGTGTGGCAGCATCGTTTCCGGGACACCAGAGATTTTGAGTGAGATTGAGAGGTGCTATGGGCAGCTGTACACATCAACGTTGGAGCCACACGCAAGTGTGAGTAACGATACAAGAGCAAGTCTTACCCGACACTATTCCGATGATATCCCGGACGTCAGTCTGAGCGAGATTAGAATGGCTCTCCAGCACTTCTGAAAGCGGGTGGAACACCGGTACTTGCAGTCCTTCAGAGGCTCTTCAATTCCGTCCTCCATGGTGGCACTACTCCGGAGGCGTGGAGCAGAAGTGCGGAGGTCTTGTTCTTTAAGAAAGGCGACAACGCTCTCCGGAAGAACTACAGACCGATTTCCCTTCTGAGCCGCGTCTACGTGCTGTTTTCGAGTCATTACAAATCGTCTCGCACGCAGACTCGACGACTTCCAACCTCCCGAACAAGCCGGTTTCCGAAAAGGCTTCAGTACCATAGACCACATACATACCCTGCGTCAGATTGTACAGAAGACCGAAGAGTACAATCTGCCACTTTGCCTGGCGTATGTGGACTATGAGAAAGCCTTTGATTCCGTCGAAATTTGGGGGGTGCTACAGTCCCTTCAGCGGTGCCAATTTGATTGTCGGTATATCGAAGTGCTGAAGTGTTTGTACAGTAGGGCTACGATGGCTATCCGAGTACAGAACCAGAGTTCGAAACCTATCCAACTGCAGAGAGGTGTAAGACAGGGTGACGTTATATCCCCGAAACTCTTCACCGCTGCGTTGGAAGACGTTTTCAAGCTACTGGACTGGAAAGGATACGGTATTAACATCAATGGCGAGTACATCACTCACCTTCGATTTGCCGACGATATAGTCCTTATGGCAGAATCGCTGGAGGACCTTATCACTATGCACAATGACCTCAATGGTGTCTCCCAACGGATAGGTCTTAAGATGAACATGGACAAAACAAAGATTATGTTCAATGTCCATGTCACACCTATGCCGGTAGTTGTGGGGAGGACTATGCTCGAAGTTGTTGACGAGTACGTTTACCTGGGACAAATAGTCCGACTAGGTAAGTCCAACTTCGACCGTTCGGGAAATTACGACACATATTCTCGTCAGGTATACCTCAATCACTGAAAACTAAAGTGTACAAACAGTGCGTGTTGCCAGTGATAACTTACGGATCAGAGACGTGGTCCTTTACTGCTGGCCGTATGAGGACGCTCAAGGTCGCTCAGCGAGCTATGGAGAGGGCTATGCTCGGAGTTTCTCTGCGTGATAGACTCAGAAATGAGGATATCCCCAGTAAAACCAGAGTGACCGACATAGCCCAACGGATTAGTAAGCTGAAGTGGCAATGGGCCGGCCATATAGCTCGAAGAACCGATAACCAATGGGGAAGAAAGGTTCTCGAGTGGCAGCCTCGTACCGGTAGGCGTAGTGTAGGGCGACCCCCCACTAGATGGTGTGACGACCTGGTAAGACATGCAGGAAGTCGATGGATGCAGGTGGCTCAGGACCGTGCTTTGTGGCATTACTTGGGGGAGGCCTATGTTCAGCAGTGGACTTGTGAAGGGCTGTAATGATGAAGGGTATATTATACAACATGTAACAAAAATCCCGCTGGTCGTTTCAGGGACGTATAGGTGTGCATATAGGAATGGCAATTATGATAATGAAAAAATTTTTTGGTTGCTTTAAATGGGGTTTTAGAATTTCTAATCAGATAACTTCTTAATATTTTTAAAAATGTTATTTGCTTCTGAACTTACTAATACGTGCCGACATATTATCTACGGCCGCTATGACTTCACTGACACAGCTGCCACAAAGCAAGCCGCTGGGCGGCGCGTGCTACCCCAAGGTTTTTGTGTAAATCGTTATAACTATCTAAACAGTTATTCTCCGAAATTCTAAATTTAAAAATAATCAAAATTATAATGCAATATTTCTTTTAATAATGTGCTGACAGTTTATGAACATTCCATTTCCCTTCTTGAGAGAACGATTCTTAGACCCGCTAAGTAGATGA